CGTCTGTAGAAATTGATTTTGATGATGAGATTCGTGCACTGATCGTTTTAGCTTCTCTGCCAAACAGTTGGGAGGCAATGAGGATGGCAGTAAGAAATTCTACAGGAAAGGATAAACTGAAGTACATTGACATACGAGATTTAATTCTGGCCGAGGAGATTCGTAGAAAAGATGCAAGTGAAACCTCAGGATTTGGTTCTACACTAAACCTTAAGATAAAAGGCAGAGATAATGACAGAAATTCAAATCGGGACATATCAAAATCCAGAAACTCTAATTAGAACAGAAGTAAATCTAGATCAGACCAACAAGCAAAATGTTGAAATTGTGGAAAAATGGGTCATTTTAAGAGGCAATGCAAAAGTCTTAAGAAGAAGAATGAAGATGATTCTGCTAATGCTGTAACGGAAGAGGTATAGGATGTATTACTTCTTGCAGTAGACAGTCCACTGATGATTGGGTTTTGGACTCAGGAGCTTCGTTTCATACTACTCCACACCAAGAAATCATGCAGAACTATGTTGCAGGTGATTTTGGTAAGGTGTATTTGGCTGATGTTACAGCCTTGGATGTTATGGGTATGGAAAAGATCTGAATATCATTGTCCAATGGGTCTATTTGGTTACTGGAGAAGGTTTGACATATTCTTGACCTGAGGAGAAATCTGATTTCTGTTGGGCAACTTGATGATGAAGGGCATGCTATACTATTTGTTGGTGGTACTTGGAAGATCACAATGGGAGCCAGAGTATTGGCTCGTGGAAAGAAGACTGGTACTCTATATATGACCTCAAGTCCAAGAAACATAATTGCAGTCGCTGAAGCAAATACTGATACAAGCTTATGGCACCGCAAACTTGGTTACATGAGTGAGAAAGGGATGAAGATGCTGCTGTCAAAGGGGAAACTACCAAAATTAAAGTTTGTTGATTTTGACATGTGTGAAAGTTGCATCTTAGGAAAGCAGAAAAATGTGAGCTTCTTGAAAACTGGTAGAACACCAAAGGCTAAAAAATTGGAGTTAGTATACACGGATTTGTGGGGGTCTTCTCCAGTTGCATCCCTTGGGGGTTCAAGGTATTACACCATTTTCATTGATGACTCAAGCAGAAAGGTATGAGTTTATTTTCTGAAAAATAAATCTGATGTATTTTATACGTTTAAGAAGTGGAAGGCTATGGTTGAGATAGAAACAGGTTTAAAAGTAAAATGTTTGAGGTCAAACAATGGAGGATAGTACATAGATGGAGGGTTCAGTGAGTATTGTGTTGCACATGGAATTAGGATGGAGAAAACCATTCCTAGGACACCACAGCAAAATGGTGTGGCTGAGCGCATAAATAGAACTCTCAATGAGCGTGCTAGGAGTATGAGGTTGTATGTTGGACTACCAAAAACTTTTTGGGCTGATGCTGTTAGTATTGTAGCTTACCTGATAAACCGAGGACCTTCAGCTCCCATGGAGTTCAGACTTCCTGAAGAGGTATGGAATGGTAAAGAAGTAAAGTTTTTCCATTTAAAAGTTTTTAGTTGTGTTTCATATGTTCATATTGATTCTGATGCTCGTACTAAACTTGATGCAAAGTCTAGAATATGTTTTTTTATTGGTTATGGTGATGAGAAATTTGGCTATTGTTTTTGGGATGAACAGAACAAGAAAATCATAAAAAGTAGAAATGTGATATTTAATGAACAGGTTATGTACAAGGACAGGTCAACTGTAGTGTCAGATGTCACAGAGATAGATTAAAAGAAATCTGAGTTTGTCAACTTAGATAAATTGACTGAAAGTACTGTCTTGAAAAGGGGTGAAGAAGATAAGGAGAATGTAGAATTACAAGTAGATCAAAGTACACCCATAGCTGATGTCCATAGATCTTCCAGGATCATTAGACCTCCACAACGTTTTTTTACCCACTTTAAATTACCTCTTGTTGACTGATGGTGGTGAGCCAGAGTGTTATGATGAAGCCTTGCACGATGAAAATTTAAGCAAGTGGGAGTTAGCCATGAATGATGAGATGGAGTCCTTGTTGGGAAATCAGACATAGGAACTGACTGAATTGCCAATAGGGAAAAAGGCTTTGCACAACAAATGGGTATACAGAATTAAGAATAAGCATGATGGTAACAAGAGGTATAAAGCCAGATTAGTTGTCAAAGGGTTCCAGCAGAAGAAGGGTATTGACTTCTCAGAAATATTTTCTCCAGTTGTGAAGATGACGACAATTAGACTAGTATTGGGAATGGTGGCTACAGAAAACCTATATCTTGAGCAGTTAGATGTGAAGACGACATTCCTTCATGGTGACTTGGAGGAAGACATTTACATGATTCGGCCAGAAGGGTTCATTGTTCAGGGACAAGAGAATCTAGTTTGTAAATTGAGAAATAGCTTGTGTGGCCTAAAACAAGCTCTAAGACAGTGGTATAAAAAATTTGACAATTTTATGCATAGAACTGGGTTCAAGAGATGTGAAGCTGATCATTGTTGTTATGTTAAATTCTTTGGCAATTCTTACATCATTTTACTGTTATATGTGGATGATATGCTCATTGTAGGGTCTAGCATTGAGGAGATTAACAATCTGAAAAAATAATTGTCAAAACAGTTTGCAATGAAGGATTTGGGAGCTGTAATACAAATCCTTGGTATGAGAATCATCAGAGACAGTCAAGGGCACGTTGAAATCGTCGCAGGCTGAGTATGTGAAAAAGGTACTTAGTAGATTCAACATGAATCAAGTCAAACCAGTTGGCACACCGCTGGGTAGTCATTTTAGACTCAGCAAAGATCAGTCACCCAAGACAAAGGAGGAACATGAGCACATGAGTAAGGTTCCTTACGCTTCAGCTATTGGTTCACTTATGTATGCTATGGTTTGCACAAGACCGAACATTGCCCATGCAGTGGGAGTTGTGAGTAGATACATGAGCAACCCAGAAAGACAACATTGGGAGGCTGTGAAGTGGATTTTGAGATATCTAAAAAGTTCCTCAGAAGCATGCTTGTGTTACACCAGAGATAGTTTGGAGTTACAGGGTTTTGTTGATGCCGACCTGGCTGGAGACACTGATAGTAGGAAGAGCACCACCGATTTTGTTTACACCTTGGGTGGTACTGCCGTGTCTTGGGGTTCTAACTTGCAGAAAACAATATCCCTTTCTACTACAAAGGTCAAGTATGTTGCAGTGTCAGAGGCTTCAAAGGAGATGATTTGGTTACAGAGTTTCTTGAAGGAACTGGGTAAAAAGAAACAAAATGGTACTTTTTACAATGATAGTCAGAGTGTCATATTTCTTGCCAAGAATCTGATATTTCATTCTCAAACGAAGCACATTCAGATCAGGTTTCATTTCATACGGTCCTTGCTTGATGATTGTCAGTTGATACTTGAGAAGATCTGTGGAACTAAGAACCCGGCAGCATGTTGACTAAGAGTGTCACTACTGAGAAGCTAAAGTTGTGTGCAGCTTCAGTTGGCCTTCTAACTTAAGGACATGAAGATAAGTTATAGGGATGAAGGACTAATCTTGGGAGGATTGTAATTGATGTTGGTGAACTAGTCTCTAAGTGGGAGATTTGTTGGTTTTTGTGGAATTTAGTTTTTTATACTAATCTGGATGATGACTCGATCCGAAAAATGTTGCTTGGTTTTTAATGAAAAATTTTCTGAAACTTAATCCATGTATCGAAGGCTTGGGAAAATTTTTGGGCCTATTTGTTTGTACCCCGGTGCAAGCCATATAAAACATGTTTCTTTCTGGTGATTAGAGTTGATTGATTCTGTACGGCCGCCGCCCTCTCTATATTCGTTCTTGAGAATAGTAAAACTCCTGTAATTTCATGGATGTATATAAATTATTGAACCATGTAAATATTGTCTTGTGCGTGTGATTATTTTTCTTTGGTATGTGATTTTTCTATTGTTGTTTCTCACAAATTTAAAATTTTCGTATAAATTTCTTAACATCACTAACAAATAATATATAAACAAGTAGGAATCCCACACAAACAAATTAGGAACTACCCATAGTCTATGAAAGTCAATAGCTACCCTAGTGTAATGAGTTGAGTACCCAAAAAAAAAAAGGTAGTTGTGAGTAGTTAATTATCACAATGCTGTATTAATTGGAGACAGTTAATTCTTGATGACAGTTAAATGAGTAAAAGAAATGGGAGAATTAGATTTATTTCCTGCCTATCCTCTCAACATCTTGGTCTGATTTTTCCTAGCAAAAGTAAACAGTAATAGTACATAGTACATAGAGATGAGCGCAGGAACTTGGGTGGCCGTACACGTTCCCTTGTTATTCTTAGTCCGGACCCAAATATAATAATGAGAGAAAGCATAATATAATAATGAGAGAGAGAATAACAGGTTGGCCAACGGTTTTAGAAATGTCCCCGGCCGTTTCAACTTTGGCATGTCATACATAGTGGATTAGCGTCAAGGTTATGGAATTGGTGCCTTGGTTCCGGTTCCTCCCCCTCCATTGGTGGATCCACACTTGCCTACTCCAAAAACAGGGATACAGTTTCCCCTAGCCATAGTGGTTTTTTTTGTGTTAACAATCATACCGAATTATGTGAGGAAAACAAAAGGAACTCTCAAACATTTTTGAGTGTAAATCATCGTCAGCCAGCTAATAATGGATGAAATATGTGGTTGAGCAACCACACCACACCACACGGATGCTTTTGTGAAAACTGGATTATATAAGTAAGTGATAACCCATGTAATGTATAGAATTAGAAGAAAAGGAAACAAAAATAGCTACCAAACCTCAAAATTAATGATCCATTTAACATCAATGGGGTTGGTTAACAGTATTCTCTCAATCAATCTGAGAAGCAAATTACAAAATCACTTCCATCTATCTATACATAACTTTTTACAAGGAAAATAATAATAATAAAAAAAATCGTTTGATTTTGAATTTCTTTTTTTTAGTATCCAAAATCGATGATATTGAAATTGAAGGAAGGAAATGAATAATTAAGAGAGTTGGAGGACAGAGCCTTCGTGGATTGTAGTCAATCTGAGCCTGAAGGAACGAACCGCCATCCTAGCCCGTCTGGAAGAGTATCTCTGCAATTTCCTGATAGAGGTAGAGCCGGATCTGGAAGCCCCCTCAACTCCAAGTTTATCCTTATCGGCAAAACTCTTCTTGGGTAAATTAACTGCTACTCTTTGATTGACCTCCAGCGCCACAGGGGAAATGCGAGCCTTGTTCTGGTGCCGACGGCCTGAGCCTGAGCCTGAGCTCTTCTTGGAGGAATTCTGAAGGGCGACGCTGGCCTTGACAGCAAGAGCAGCCATGTCCGACGCACTGAGTTTGTACTCAAGTTTTGTGGTGGGGAGAATGAAATAGATTTGACCCGGCTGAAGTTCATCTTGTGGATCCAAGGCCGGTGTATATTCGTCGTAGTACAAGCTATCCGAGTTGCAGAGGAAACAGGAGGAAGATGATGATGAGGTTGTTTCCATCTGAAGGACTTGAGAGACGGTGACGGGAACAGAATATTCCCGCAAATCTCCATAAACCGAGATCACATTAGCGGTGGACTCTTGATCAGTAACCGAGTAACTTGCCGTCAAAGAAAAACAACCACCCATTTCTGTATCTTGGCTTGGCTAAGGTGTTCGTTGCTGCAGCTTCAAGCTTTTGTTGATCTGTTGTGGAGACGTTGATCAATATAAAGGATAAGAGAGGGAGAGGGAGAGGGAGAGGGAGAGGGAGAGAGAGAGAAAGGACTAAAGTAGAAAGAAGACGAGAGAATGAAAGTGAGATGGACAACAAAATGAGGCGGTCAGTCACGCGTTTTAAAAGGGGCAGATGGGAAGGTGGTGGTGAGAAAGAAGGAATTTTCTAGGTTTTGGGGCGTGTAATCGATGACGCAAGCGAGGCCGTCATTAGGAAATACCGTTTGGTAGCTTTTTGTTTCGGAAGAGTAGTCGTCGTGACGCCTAATCTCTCTCTCTCTCTCTCTCTCTCTCTCTCAGGTATTTGTGTGGGTGCGTTGTGTGGGAAAGGAGGGAGACGGGGGGAGTCATAAGCGCTGACGCGGGAGTTTTTGTCGCCAAGTTGAACACGTGATCTGCGGAGAGAGGGAGAGAAAGAGTCAAACAAATCAAAGGAGGCCATAAACTTGCTTGCTCTACAAGCAACAGACACAGAGACAGTTACAGTTACAGTTGCAGTTGGATGGAGAATCTAATTAATAAGAAATTATCGACCAAACGTACTCTACTCAATAACCATCGCCGTAAATGTACGATTGCTCGCCAATGTTTTACGCCCTTTTTATGCTTTAGCACCAGTAGGAAATGATAGCTTAATTTACTATCATTTTTTTTTTAAATTCTTTTTCTAATAACTTTGGGTGGACGATTCCATACTGATGTATAATAAAATAATAATATAAAATAGGATAAATTACACTCACACCTGTTAACATTTGATCAAATAATACGGAGACCCCTCTGACATTTCTAAAATTACACAAAAACTCCTTGTTGGCATCAAGAGGTGACTGGTGTTAACAGAAGTGATAAGATAAAATGATTATTTTAACTCTTTAATTTAATTTAAAATAAATATATAATAAATTAAATTATTAAGTCAAAAAAAAATCACTCTCCTTTCACATCTCACTCATCTCTTACCCCACCCGACCAACGCCACCACCCCTCCTCTCTCTCTCACACAAATCCCCCAAGCTCCCGCCCCTTCACTACAACAAATCTCATTGTACCCAGCCCTCCCAACCCAACTGCCATTACCACCACCACTCCAAGCCCAGCACCCCCTGCCCCATCCCTGCAACGCCCAGCCCTCCCTCCCAACCCCACCTGCCACCACGACCACTCCAAGCCCAGGACTCCCAACCCTCCAATACCAACCCCCTTCTTCTCCCCCCACCCAAGGCTATGCATCTCGGGTTGCACAGCCCCAAATCTAAAGACTCAATCATCTCTCTCTTTCTCTTTCTCTCTCTAGATCTACAAAACCCACATGAATTAGTGAATCATCATCCTCGAATCAGCCACTTTCTCTCTCGAATCCGCCAAATGTGGGGGTAAAGAAAGAGATCTTTATAGGGTAGGGAGTTGGGGGCTGGGGAGGGGTAACGAAGTGAGGTGAAGGGTGGTGGTGGTGGTGGACGGTGGACGGGTAGTGAACGGTTTCATGATGGTGGAGGTGGGGCTACAGTGATGGGAACAGAATTGTGCGGGATGGTGGAACTAATTATCATAGTTAATGATAATTTCTGATTAATTTTACTCAAAATATAATGGTTTAAAGTTAATATTTGATTAATTTTTATAATTGCATAATTAATGTTGGTAAAATTATAAATTATGATAATTAGTGAACAAGATTGTCTTATAAATGATAGGCATGTTATAGAGGAGTAATTTTTGGAATTAGGTAAATTTTGTTCCCTAATGTCATTATTTTCTGTTAGTCAGATTAATGGTTGGAATATGGAAGAAGTTTCTGTGTCATGATTTTTAAATATCAGCGGTTGTCGTGTAATTTTAGAATTGTTAGAAGGTCTCCATGTCATTTTGGTCAAATGTCAGGGGTCTGAGTATAATTTATTCTATAAAATAAATAACAAGAATTTTAGAATTTTATTTGAACATAGTCAATGTTGTTCAATTAGAAAGATTTAGGAGATTTTATTGTATTTCTTAATTTTATTAAAAAATTATTTTATTTTATTTTTTAGTTTAATTAGAAATTTATTTTATTTAAGATTCTAATTTCCTTGTTGCTTTAGTTTTTCTAATACTATTTAAATTCTTGTAAGCTTTAAGGCAAAGGAGTTTTGGTGAATTAATAATATTGAGAGAGTATTGTACTCTTTTTCTTAAATATTCTGGTATTTTTAAAAATCAATAGATTAGTTAAAATTTTCATAACTAGTATTCTACGAAATCAACATGCCTAAAGTAAGATTTTAAACAAGTATTTTGGTGCAAATTAACGGTATAATTTCATCATCCCCTTTCGTTCATTATATCTTTATTTTTATCCGCTTCCCTGCATCAGTTGGTATCAGAGCACAATTACGTTTATTTCAATATTGAAAGTTCCTGATGATTGTGTAATTTACGCAGTTGTGTAGTTGAATTTGAGGCTCAAAAAAGGGGACATGAACTAAAAATTTATTAGGGATGATGATGGGGATTTACTAGGATGTCCAGTTTGAGCTACTATGTTCGTAGTGGTTATTAGTCAATTACAGAAACAACAACCATCAATCGATAGATATGAGATTTATAGTAGTTTACCAGCTTGAAAGTTTGACTAGTCTACTCTAATAAAGTCTCTTGCTTCTTGAGTTTTATTAGTATTTGAAGAGAGAAAATTATAAGGTTATAGAGAGTCTATTCACAAATATTCTCATGAGCCCCTTCCAAAGCGAGGAATCGATCCCTATTTATAGTTTGTAGGGGTTTTGCGTAATCAACACTTTAGTAGTTATCGTGATCCTTGTGCAATAGCCGTGATCTTTTCGTAACACTAGAGATTCTTGTGTAATCAATATGATCCTTTAGGGATTGTTACAACTCATGTGTCGAGAATCTTTGGTTGTTAGAGACTATATTATCTAGGTGTCACATGATTTTCTGAAAGATTTGAGTTATCGCTATCACAGTATGCTTGAGACCTAAGGTGGAAAACTGAGCTCGAAGGTCCCAACTGGAGACCTCAACTGGGAAGTCCGAACAGGTAGACTTGGGAGTCGGAGCTAAGAGGTCTGAGCTAAAATACCAAAGCTGTGAGATCTGAGCTAAGAGAGCTAAGGAAGAAGACTTGAGCTGCTTCTAGGCCAAGCTTAACCTTGGATAATTTTTGATATCATCACCTAATAAGAAGTTTGAAAATTTATTTTTTAATAGCTAATTATCTTCTATTCAATCAAAAATTAATTCGAATTTACGCTGATATTCAATGAATACTCGGAGAATGATTACCTCTTCACTGCCAAAGATGTTGGTTGCACCAACGCGTATGTCAAGGATATTATTGTTGTTGCTAATTGAAGGATGAGATAATGAAAGATGATGTTGTTGTTGCCCATAATGATTTTACAAGAAACACCTCTATCAAGGTGTAAGGGGTAGAAATCGCTACGGGATTTCAGCTCTCCACTCGAAGGATTCCGGTTGACCTGACGGCACCGAACCCCAGTAGCCTTTACCTCTCTTCGCCAATAGGATCCTTTCCTAAAACAATCCCATATCGGAAGAGAGTCGTTTTAGCAAAGGGTCCTATTGACGAAGAGAGAAAAATGCTACTGAGGCTCAGTGCCGCCAAGTCAGCCGGAATCCTTCGAGTGGAAGGCTAAAATCCCGTAGCGATTTCTACCCCCTTACAGTTTAGTACTCGTATATGTGCACCTATTAATCTGATATTAAAGCAAGAGATTTTCAAAGAAGCACACAACTGAGTTTATAATATTCATCTTGGTAGCACATAGTTAATTGTGATCTTCTAGAGTATTGCTGATGGACTGGAATGAAATGAGAAATTATTGAATTTACAAGATCCACACCCTATAAGTTTGTTGTAGTCATTCTTTATTCCTATGTGCAAATGAAGCACATTATGATGGATTTTGTGACCGGCCTTCCTTGTAATCCGAAAGGCTATGAGTCTGTTTAGGTCACTGTTGATTCTCTGATAAAACCTGCTCATTTTTTTACTATGAGATAAAGATGGAGGGGGAGAGTTGCCCGTTGACATCATCTAGACTGTGTGTGTGTGTGTGTGTGTGTGTGCGAGAGGGAGAGATAGAGAGAATAAATGAGGTGTACAGTGGCTGGACGCTGGAGTAGATAGATAAGGTTGGAGTTTTTAGATATACTAGCTAGTTCACACGTACGTTGCATTTTCAAGATTAACGAAATTCAACAAAACATTTGGATTGATACAAAATTTACATTTTTGACCAACCTGTAGATACCAAACCATATGAATTTCCCTAAAGGAAAACAATCCACAAGAAATTCTATTATATGGTTAGGATCGTATTTTAGATACTGATTGTAGCAAAAATATACATTAGACTCTAATAGGAAAAGAAAACAAACTTAAGAACATACGCTTGAGCAAAAAGGAGTCAATTCCATAACATATATTTGCATATACAGTAAAGTACATAGAAATGTAGCATTCATGTATTATAGCAAATTTAACAATGAATACATGGGAAAATGCTATCCGAGAGTGAGGTAGAAAAGACCACTAAAAGTTACAAGGATAATCTTTCTTGACACATGTCATTGGTATGGTAATGAGTTAAGAGGTGAGAGACGTGAAGACATTTGTTGTTCATATATGAAATAGGATCTTGATGTTACATTCATATAAACTAACTGGAATTAAAAAGGCTGGCCAAACTCAGAAATATAACATTTTTGAACTAACATTTATTTCCGACATCATTTGTCAAACTTTAAACTTCTCTCCCTCAAGGATTTAGCCCGTTACTTCCGATCAATCTATCTATTCCACCAAAGAAGACATCCCCAAGTCCATAAAAAACTAAAGGTTGGACACAATATGAGCATCTGATCATAAAATACACAAGATACCTGAA